CTGTACAACTCTTCTTAATATGAGTGAACTCTTTTATGACAGTAGGAGCCTTGGTGGCATAGTGGTGATGTGTTGGGCTGCTATCCACAAGGTCAGCAGTTCCGAGCCACCAGCCGCTCCTCAAGAAAAAGAGGAGGCTGTCTACTCCCATAAAAAGTTACAGTCCCACAAACCCAGAGGTGTAGTTCTACCATGTCGTATAGGGTCGCCGTTATTCAGAAGTGGCTCCACGTGAGAGTCATTTTATATGTGAGTTAATTTCCAGTAAAGCTACTAAAACAAGATAAACAAATGGCCATTTAGCTGAGAAGCGACAAAGCTCTTAAGGCAGAAGCACACCAGCCTGGGTGATCATGAAGTATCAGTGGGATCAGGGACACTAGAACCCCAGTACTCGACATAATCAGATTTCGACGGGAAATGTCGAGAAAATTTTACATCGGTGCTCGAACAAAAACACCGGAAACAATTTGTGTTTCAATCACTCGGTGTTACTTGGCGTTGCTAGTACGCATTGTTTAAACTTTGTGCAGCTGTGTTCCAAGCATTTTGCTATATTTTTCTTAGTTTTTGTGGCTTTTTGATACTGTTTTTAGATAAAAAAAACATGGTCCTAAGAGAGTTTTGAAAAGCACTCAGTGAAGCAAAAGGTCAATGGTTTGAACCTTCCAACTGCGCTCTGAGACCATGGTTAGATTTCAGACAGCTCACTAACATGGTGAGCAGGTTTTGGAAGACTACAATTAGCAGCTGGCTCCTTACCTGACCTGTAATTGCTCCTCATACAGAACAGTCGAAAGACATCGGGTGGAAACTTCTTTAGAAAGTCCTAATAAGTGAAAAATAAAGCAAGTTAACAAGGTTTCGCTTTTTACATTTTATATCATCCAGAGATGGTTTCTATAGTATGATTCTGAATTGCTAGACACATGTCAAGAAATCAGACATGATGATGAAGGGCTCTGTTTTATCCCCAAACCCTCACTGTCACCCACTTTTCCTGGAAGTGACCCCTCGCCCAATCTTGTGTGTTTGAGACAATAACCACTCGTACACCACTGCAACGGCCTCTGTGTGTCCAGTGCAGACACCTGGGTTAAGTTCTTCGGGTAGGGTTTTCTCGAGCGATTCCAAATGGCTTCACCATCATTGACACGAACCCACTGCTCCCTAAACTTCTCACCTGCCTACCCAGTTACAGTTGTCCATTTGGTCAGACAGGTAATTCTATAAAAATCTACAAATCTTAAAGGTGACTTCAGGGGATGGCTTCAGTTTGAAGTTTAAGGTTTTCCTCAGGGTAATAGTGAGTGAGCAAGCGCGCGCATGCGCGCGTTATGTGTGTGTGTGTGTGTGTGTGTGTGTGTTTGGGGGGGGTGGTGGCTTCAGTTTGAAGTTTAAAGTTTTCCTTAGGGTAATTGTGTGTGTGTGTGTGTGTGTGTGTGTGTGTGTGTGTGTGTGTGTTTGGGGGGGAGGGGTGTCCAGAGCAGAGAGATGTCATCTGGCTTATGTGACTCTAGAAAGCCTGGATTCTCATGGAATATGAAATTCAGTTTCTCATTTCCCCCCTTTTGTTCAGGATTCTTCTGTAAAATCCTCGATCTAAAATGTTTGCTGGGCACTCCCCCCCCCCCCACTGAATGTTGTGTGTTTGATCGCAATACTCAGTGGGAGAAGAGAAAGCCCATTTGCTCTGAAAAACTTGCTCTTTCACTTTAGAAACTCTTTCAGCCACGGCATACTTTTGTGCCCCTCACCCTAAAACAGCGGTTCTCAGCCTGTGGGGTGCGACCCCTTTGGGGGTCAAATGACCCTTTCACAGGGGTCGCCTGATTCATAACAGTGGCAAAATGACAGTGATGAAGTAGCAATGAAAATAATTTTAGGGTTGGGGGTCACAACATGAGGACCTGTATGAAAGGGTCGCGGCATGAGGAGGGTCGAGAACCACTGCCCCAGAAGGAAGATCCCCACCCCGTGGCCCAGTGACTAATGGGAATGGGGTTCTGCCCTGGGAGGGACAAAGGCTTAGGTGGGGGGACACGTGAAGCACTGCACGTCCTGGCTGAGTGAGACTGAATGCAGGTTCCGAGTTGGGACCCACATTTCCAGAAAAAGCTTGGCAAAGGCTACTGGTCAGAACACGCATCCACGTTTGTGGTCAGACTGAGGAGAGAGAGGTCAGGCTCAATCTATTGAATGGCACGGTTCTGGAGGCACTAACTAAACTTATTCTTAATCGATAAAATCACCCTGCCCCTGACATTTCACACTGATTGAAACTAAGATGCAACTTTTTTTTTTTTTACCTTCATGCCCTTGTCATTTTATTTTATTTTTTTTAAACATTTTATTAGGGGCTCCTACAACTGTTATCGCAATCCACACACACATCAATTGTGTAAAGTGCATTTGTACATCATTCTCAAAACATTTTCTCTCCACTTAAACCCCCGACGTTAGGTCCTCATTTTTCCCCTCCCTCCCCGCTCCCCCCTCCCTCATGAGCCCTTGATAATTTATAAATTGGTATTTTGTCATATCTTGCCCTGTCCAACGTCTCCCTTCACCCACTTTTCGGTTGTCTGTCCCCCAGGGAGGAGGTCACATATAGTTCCGCGACCCCTCTGTGGGGGGAGGCTCCATTGTCCGCGTCCTTTGGATCTCTGCTCCAACCCCCTTCATTCTCACCAATGCATTTTTGTTTATTTACTGTTCGTTGTGCATCTTCTGATGCCCGTTGCCTGGTCTCGATGACACCTCATGATCGCACCTGCTGGTGTGCTTCTTCCATGTGGGTTTATTGCTTCACTGTTGGATGGCCGCTTGTTTAACTTCAAGCCTTTAAGACCCCAGACGCTATATCTTTTAATAGCCGGGCACCATCCTCTGTCACCACATCTGCTTATGCACTCATTTTGTCTTCAGCCATCGTGTGTGGTGGGGGGTGGGGTGGGGTGGCGCTAGTCCCTTTATTTAGGTTCAAACGAGGAAAGGAAAGTTGGCATTTAGTTGTTCCATCTTTTGAGTTTTCTAGAGTATGATGGGACATTCTCTACGCATATATAATCTCTCCTGATATTCACATACATTCCAAGTCTCTTCCTGAAGGTAATGAATATATCACTACCATAATGTAATGTACACTTTGAACGAGAAAACCCGAGATCCGGTACTTAACACAGTCAGTATTTTGACAGCTCCTATTAACTGAGGTGCTGTATCATCCATTTCAATCCCTGCAGTGAAACATCCGGATCCCACTTCCTCCCAGAACTTCTTAGTTCCATTCTTCCTCCTTTCTAACCCTCTGTGTTTCATCTTTGGTAAAATATGCCCTTTTGCTCTTAAACGGCTAATTACAATGGCCAGGTGAGCTCTCTTCCAGACCTGCAGGGTGACCTCTCATAGATTTTAGAGAAAGAAAGGTACATTGTATGCCACAGACTCAGACAAACATTTGACTGACTGATGTTCGAACTGTTCCTCGCTGTTCCAACTTTGGTGGAAATTCAACATAGGGGCAGGCTTAGGAATGGCACTTGTTCATTATCTGGAGAATGCCTGTGCTTTAGAGATCAGCCAGGGACAGGGGGGAGGTGGGGAGGGAAAGGGAACTGAGCCTAATGAAGGCCTTCAAACATGGTCCCAGGAAAGGGAGCACCACCTCACGCTTCAGTCACTTTCAGGAATAGCCATGGCCCACTGCTGACCCGGGGATGAAAGGGGACCCTAATCTGCATCTCACTTCAGCATGCAGGGCACACAGAACACACAGCGGCCACACTGCCACCTCCCTCCAGCTGGCTGAGCACCGATGAGGAAAGCCTGTGTCCGGGCTGGCACGAGTCACGAAGCAAGCAAACTTGACTCACATATGAGCCTGTGTACAACTGCAACACTAATTCTGAAATCTTCTTCCATGGTTTCTAAGTCAATACCGCGAAAGGCCTCTGAGCCTGCTGCGTATTCTTCTCCTCTTCTTCCCTCCAGTCATTTTTCTCTGGCCCCCAGACAGCAAAAACCACACAAGCTACAGTAACTGTGTCATCAAACACCCATCACCAGGATTCCGGGGCAAGAGTAGGTTTAGTTTGCCCCCAATGTGGGTTTTGCAATGGGCTGCTAATCGCAAGGTCAGTGGTTTGAGCCCACCAGTCACTCCGGGGGAGAGAGATGAGGCTGCCTGCTTTCGTAAATATTCACAGTCTGAGAAGTCCTATAAAGGGTTATGAGAAGTCAGAATCGGCCAGGGTCAGCAGAGGGTTTCACATGGGGCTTTAGCAATTAGTGTCTGGAAGCAAATCAGACCTTGATGGAGCTGCTCGGGGCTGCAGCGTCCTGGTTTTGAGTGAGGACAATGGACAGTCAGCAGAGCCCTGGTAGCGCAGTGGTTAAGAGCTCAGCTGCTAAGAGAAAAGGCTGGTGATCTGAAGTCACTCGGTCACTCTACAGGAGGACGCCCTGCTGATCCACTCCCATGGAGGTGACAGCCTAGAAAACTCTGTCACATGGGTCATGAGGAGTCAAAACAGACTTGATGACAGCAACAACAAACAACAGGGACCCCTGAATTCACCAGGCCACTAACCCGACTTATAACGGGTACATCCCTAATGAGCTACGCCCCTCCCCTCAACTCCCATGCCGGAGCTGCCCTGGCTGGCAGGGCATCTCAGAGGACACACACTGTGTCAGAAACAAACACTTGGACTTAGAGCCAATATGTACAGACTCCAATCACTTGCTCTTAACAATCCAATTTTCTCTGGAGGCGAAACTGATGATTATAGAGAATGTCCTTCCCACTCCACACCACCATCTTGCCAGTTCATGGACCAGGGCCAAAGCTATCATGAGGCCAAATTAAATTGCACACTTGGATCCTAATTTGGCACGTATAAAATAAAATACCATGGCTAGGAACAGAAGGCATTCCACAGAGCCTAATACAAAACAGGTCCATGAGCCATAGAGGGTTTTGTTTTGTGGGTCAGCTCTGACTGTAGCCACCTGTGTACAACAGAGTCGAGCCCTGTCCGGACCCACACCATCCTTGCCATTGTTATGTTTCCGCTCACTGTTGCCACCATTATGTCAGTGCATCTCATCCATGGTGTTCCTCTTTCACTGCTGTAATCTTTAGGGAAGCGGGTCACCAGGTCTCTCTGCTGTAGCATGGATGGGTGAGCTCAAATCGCCAACCTTTTCTGTTTCGCCAAACGACAACTATAAGTAATCTGGATTCCCCGCCCCCCCCAATTTCCATATGCATGTTGTGGTAGTTACAGAATCTGTTGTTAATTTGAGACTTAAGAGTGAAGGAGTGGAGTTTAGCCTATCAATCAGGTCGTAGTTTGATGACCTCATTTGGAGGCGCTAAGGAGATAAAAAGCTCACTGGAAGCAGGAAACATGCTCACTCCCTGGGAGACGTTCCTGTTGAGAAGACGCAAGGAGCTACTCTAGAGCCTTGGAGCTAAAGGAGTCACGTGGAGACCCCTGCCAGTGCTGAGATGCTTCCACTGCCACTGGATCCATAAGACTTTCCACCCACTGGCCTGTGATCTTCCTGCATTTGGCATCATTGCATGTGCTGCGTGAGTCTGAAGAGGAATTTATAGATTCGTACCGGACATGTGAGCTAATATCAGA